CAAGAAGTGGTTTTCCAAGTCTGAAGTTCACCTGCATCAAAACAACCCAGAGCACTTTTTAAACTGTAGGTTCTCGGGCTCCATTTCAAGCTGCTGAATCCACGGGTCTGGGGAGGAAGCCCTGGAGTCTGCACTTCAGAAAGCTCTCCAAGTGCTTCTTTTGTGGACTAACGTTTCAGGTCCTTTGCCGTAGGGAAGAAGGTCATAACCTGAATTGCCCAGGAGAATCACCTGGGCCAGTTTTTTTTGAAATTCAGGTGCCCGAGCCACACCCCATAACAACTGAATCAGAGTTTTAAACTGGATCAGATTCAACATTTTAAAAGTGCTGCGGTGATTCCAACGGGCAGCCCAGCTGGAGGGCCAGTACCCTGGATGAGAGTGCATCTAGAATCAGGTCTGGAAGGCTTGCTGCCCTTCCTCATTTGAACATTACTCCTAGTGCTAACCTAGTAGGAACTGGACTTTATTTTGATTAAGGAAACACAATTTCCTTCCATAAGGGTTATGACATTCATTTGGTATCCCCAGCATCCTGTCTGATACATAGCAGGGGCTTGGTGGTCATTTTCTGAAATAAATTCAACTAAGTGAAACTGAATGAAGTGAATCAATATGTAGGTAAATAGAATTTTCACCAAATGCCACTGGATTCAACAAGCCTATATGGCACCTAGCACAATGTTATGCTATGAGAGATATAGAGATGAACAAAATATACTTCTTCCCTTCAATTGTTCATGATCTGGTGGGGGAGGCAGAAACAGGCAAAAGTATTTTACAATTGAGCAGACAATGAGAAGTGTACAGAATATTAAAAAGGGAATAAAAGAAAATTTGGTTCTGAATGACAGAATCTGGAAGGCATCATTGAAGAGTGGCCTTGAAGTATACCCAGGAAGAAATTTGGAAAATGGGCAGTTGCGCTATAGGCATAGGGAATTCTGCACAGCGTAAGCCTAGTCAGGCGGGCCTTTCTCTAACCTTAATGGAAGACTGAAGGGCAGATATTAAAGGCTTCCTTTCTTTCTGATTTCCTTGTGACCACTCTCATTTTAAGTATTTTGCCTCTGGTTTATTAAATCTACCTCCTGGTGCCTCAGCTGATTTCTTCCAGGAAAAGTTTTCATTAGCATTTCTATGGGGAGCACCTGCTACCCCATCTATCCCTATTAACTGAAGGCTAGGGCAATTGGTTGCTAAGAGGGGAATTTTAATCCCCTCCTCTGACTCATCTATTTTCTAATTTAGAATGCTAGGTCTAAAATCACAAATGGCCAGTGAAATCCATCCTTAACATTAAAAATGATAAAAGACATGCTTCTCAATTTTACATCTTTAACATTAAAAATGATAACAAACGAATGCTTCTAAATTTTATATCATCTATGTAAAATGAATGTATTAAAAATCAATCAACTTCATGATTGTGAATAATTCTAAAGGTACCTTAGATACAATTTGAATGCAAAAAAATCTCAGGCTAATGTGGGTAGGTTATGAATTAGATGAACTGTTAAATAGGGAAGGTTTCTCAAAACCACAGCATCAAAGGACATTTGATATTATCTACTGAATGTATATTGCAGGGTAAAACTAATTAATATGTATGACTCTAGATGCTGAATGTATATTTTGTATTATATACCAACATATTAAGCTGATGGATTATGTGTTCTTTATTTAAGCAAACTGCTCCCATTGATGTCATGTGACAGATGTCCTTTGTAAAGCCCATGAGATAAGCCAGTCACCATGGTGTAAACCACCATGATATATGTAGAGTGGCAGAAGAAAAGGGTTTGTAAATCAAATAATCATTGAAATGGAGCCCAACTTGGTTTATAAGGCAAGGTAAGCCTCCTTTACAGCATACACAGGGCATATTTAAATTCAGCAGATATTCAGCATCATACCAAAGCAAAGAATGTGAGACAATTGGGAAGGAAAATCAATGTTCCAGATAAGCCTACCATTTCCAGGCATTTTTTCTTTATAGTATATTTCATTAATTGATTATCTGATTTTTCATATCTACTTTCGCCCAAAGTGCATTTCCCTATTATTGGTTTATTTTTCTTCTGGAGCAAAAAATACTATTAAATTTCACATCAAATTTGTCATGCAGTTAAATTGTTCCTTAGAGAAACTGATGTCTCTCATCAACACTCATTCTGATTCAAAACCATTCTGATTAACCAGCAAAATGGAAATGCTGCCCAGAATCATATGCATAATTAAATTTTACAGAAGATCCAAATTAGAAAAAAACATTTTTGAGGTGCTCAGATTTTTTTTTTTGATAGCCATCAAGAATAAGCATTCTCTCATAACCAAGGGACACAAGACACTGGAGGGGAGGGGATGGGTGAGGGCATGTGCTGGGGGGTAGGGGAGGCCGGGGGAAGGTCAATGGGGGTGAAAGAAAAGGAGACATATGTACTACTATGTAATACTTTAAACAATAAGATAAAATTTAAAAAAATAAGCATTCTCACCAGCTATAAGAGTATAGCCTTCTGCTATTCAATCCAATCACTTGCAGTATGTGTATAATTCTAATTGTAAAGCATGACATGCTTACTGTACATTTAAGATTTTTTTTTGCGGGGGGGGGGAGGCTATACAGCACATAGGTACAAGCCAAAATATTTACAGTGAGTTGTATCTGAAGGGTGGGTCATTCCCTGACTGTCTGGCCAATCATCCATGGACAAAGAAAGCCCCACCAACTTGGAAATATGAAGTGAGTGGGATCACCCAAGGAGATTTGAGAATCTGGAATCTCTCTTGATTGGCATTGACTCTATGGAAGTGAGGAGAGATAGCTCCTGCCTGGTGGGTGTTAAAGTTCCACCTGCCACAGGGTCATTGAATGGGAGTAGGAAGGTAAAGAGGCCAGACCAGGAATCTGAGATCTTGGGCCACCTTTAGGGCTCTCAGGGAGTGAAGTGGGGCCTATAAATGAGAAAGCCATGGCAGAATCACCAGCTACACCTTGGCTTTGTTTTTTATGCCCCTTTCTTTTCTTGTTGATGCTCTCTTGGTAGCAGCACAAAGATATTGTGAAAATGTTACCTCCTGGTGACTCTGAATCAAGGAAAAGGATACGTGTCCTTGCATGACCCAGAGCTTTAGAGGGAAGCGGCATGCTCCTCAGGGACCAGTGTGGTCAAGATAACAATAAACCCAGAGAATACTGTCAAGTGGGAGGTGGAATGCAGGAAGATGGAGTAGTGGCCAACAGAGTGGCTGCCTCTTCTCAGTGGAAAATGCTTTCCAGAGTTAAAACCAGGAGAGGGGTTGATTTTGTCTTAACAGAGAGGATGTTAACTGTGCTAGTCTTTCCTCGGCATGTAAAGAAGTGTTTGTTATGTTCACTGGAGAAAGACCTGTCTGACATGAGGCTGCACATAGGGTCTTGGCAAAAGACACTACTTCTGCAGTCCTCCTGGCCACACCCTCTGGCCAGCAGGAGGCAACTGGCTGTGGCATTGATGAAGGACCCCACAAGCCACATTTTTGATACCTTTCATTCAATTATCCATCATGCACATCTGCTTCCCCAGAGACCTCCATGCCCATGTTACATGTTCAGAGTCAACTGTGATCTGCTAGCTGGTTGATTCAGGTTGAAAAATAAGGGCAGGACTAAAAGCAAAGCATTCAAAAATACATATTGGATGCATGAAGGATGACAAAGCAGGCTGGAAGGGCTGGGACTACAGCAAAGCAAGAATTCTAGAAGAATGGGAAGAGAGAGAGGTTATGCCCTTGCTTGAAAGCATTCATTTACAGGGCATTCAACTGTGTTTAAAAAAGGGGGGGGGGCGTTCTTGGTGGTAAGAGAATGGGAAACACATCTGGAGAACATAGACAGGAGAGAGAAGAGAAGGCTGAGTAGGACATAGCTACAAAGTGAAAATCAAAATAATGAAGCATCCTGCAGAAGGCTGGAAGAGGACCAAAATGTACTAATCATCTACTACGTGCCAGGCACTGTAACCTTTTGCATTTGGCATTTTTCACTTAGCATATGTTTGTGGGGTTTTTTTTTAATTTTAGCATATGTTTTTGAGGTTTAGCCACACTGTAGAATGTATCAGAGGTTTGTTTCTTTTTATTGCTGATTAGAATTCTATTTTATGGATAGAGGATCATATAATTTTAAACTTATCAGAACCCTGGTAGTGCACTGGATTTAGCATCAAAGAGGCTCAGTTGGGGCCCTTTCAAGTATTGTGGCCTTAGGCCCTCCCCCCAATCATCTCATTTAAGCCTCACAATGTCTAGCATAGTGCCTGGCACAGAGTAGGTGCTCAAAAATAAGTTGGATATTAAATTAATAAATGAGCGAGTACTTCCCAACCTCTCAATCATATCCGATAAGAGCCTGAGGCCCAGACAGGTTAAGAAACGTGCCCAGTGTGCCACAGCCAGTAAGAAACCTAAGGAGTCTGGCTTCAAAGCCCAGGGGTAGAAGGAGGAGGGTAGGCTATAAGGATTTTTGAAGGGATCCAGAAAAGGGTGTGGTGTTTGGGTACCTCCCGGGGACTGAGAGAGGGGAAGGAAGAATCAAAAGCCAAGGGAATTGGGCTAGGGAAGAGGGTTATTGGTCACGGGGAAAGAATTCTTCTGGAAGAATGGGGCCCTGGGGGAAGGCATGAAGGCTGGTGGGTGGCGACTGAGCCAGCTAGGGGCCGCATCTAGACTAGTGCAGTGGGTAAGCTGGGTGGGGCGGAATGAAAGCACAGCCTTCAAAAAAATTGCAAAGGGTCTTTGTGGGGCAGGGAGGGACCCGAGGTAGGGCGGGATGGGGAAGACACAGAAGAAAGTGCCGAAAGGAATCAGCCACGGGAGGGTGCCTGGGAAGGGTCGGGGAGAGTGTGGTCTGGGTTGGGAGGGGAGGCTGAATGTGAGGCCTGCGAGGTGGAGAATGAGTCCTGGGTAGATGGTCAGGGTGACCAGCCCCGTCGCAGGAGCCGTGTCCGGCATCTCACCTGTAGGAGCTGCCCACGGCACTCGCCACCTCCTCGCGGATCTGCCTGTTGAGGGCGTCAGCTGCCGCACGCCCCTTGCCACCCTCGGGGCCCG